AGGTATCCGGAAATTTCTAAATGGGCTCACAAAGCAGCTTAGAATTCAGCGGTGTTTTTAGAAACTCATTTTTCTTAAAAGTTTTTAGACTCGCTCTGATAATGCAATGTCAATTAATTTAAGAATAATGACGGTTTCTGTAATTTTTTCACTTTTTCCATCAATAATATATAATAGTAGATTTGAAAAGACCTTTCTAACATGGGAAACAACATTTATTACAGGTAGATTTTTTCTCATACAAAACCATTCTGAATGTAAGAATTTTCTAATATTTTTGACATTTATGGGATAAAAACAACATTTTAATGACATCACAAGTAAAAGTTTTTTAATGTTTTAAGATTTTAATTTACGCATTTTTTCATTTGTTTTAAACTTCATTGTTCATCTATAAAATGAAAAAATGAAAACCTTTCTTCCCCTCGAATTAACTTTTTTGTATGAAATAAAAACTTGATTAGATCAATTTATTATTAAATAAACCAGAATTAAACTAGATTTTGAAAAACATACCAGAAAAAACAAAAAAAGAACAAAGACTTTAAAATAAACCATATTTAAACCAATTTTTCTAAAATAAACCAAAACAAAAATTCGAAGCCAAACGATAAAAAAACAAACCAGATTTGAGAAATCTGGCTTTAAAAAACACCAGATGGTAACCCTGCTATGACGCCATATATGACGCATAAGCTATGAAAAAAAAACCATGGTTCACCCATGGAAATTACATGGGATTTCAATTTTTATGAAATTTTCCATGGAATATTTCCGTAAGGGATGCTTAGTTTTACAGCAAATGTTTTTGATCCCTTGGTGCTAATAAACCCAGTAATTGCGTATTTAAAATTTGTTTATCTAAAATATGATGGGATTGTAAAATTAATAAAGATTTATTAAAATTATTGCGAGATATTTATAGGGATTTAGGATCTGTACAGTTGATTTATGTACCTAGATTTTATTTTTTGAAATCGAGTGCGAGCTGCACGCGATTTAAACTTTATGGTTTTAGTGATGCTAGTTTAAAAGCCTTTGGGTGTTGCATATATTTAAGATGTATTTTTAATGAGAACGAACAGTGTTTGTCTCTTGTCACTTCACAATCTAGAATAGCCACGCTAAGTAAATGTACAATACCTCGTTTAAAATTGAAAAGTTGCTTACTGCTTGCATTTCTTATGTCAAAAGTAGTTAAGGAACTTTTATCAATCATTCTTATTTCTAAAGTTAAATTATTTTCAGATTGCTTACATTGGATAAAAAATTCTAAGTAAATTTATGAAACATTTGTTAGAATTAAAAATTTATTAAAAATTAGAGATTTATTTGACTTTTCTTTTTGGAATTACGTCGAAACAGATCGTAATCCTGTGGATACTATATCACGAGGTGCTAGTATTGAAAATTTAACTAATAATCAGTTATGCCTTAATGGACCCAAATTTCTTTATACTCCAGAGATTTGGCTTTTCTTTGATCAAAATAATTTGATTATCCTTTCAGAGGAAACAAAAATACTACTAATAACTAATGATTTAAAATTTATTTATATAACTTACTTTAATTCATATTCCCGCTTAATACGAGTAACAACTTATATTCTAAAATTCGTATTTTGCTTAAAAAATACGCAATTACGAAAAGATAATCTTTTACTTTCTTTTATTGGATTAAATTTATCCAATAAAATATATATTGTTCTAAGAATTATAAAAAACTAAAAAATGATTCAGGATATTTTTTTGATAGCGAAGGAATAATAAGATGTAGGCGGCGATTGGGAAATACTCCAATTAGTTACAATACTAAATTTCTAATATTTCTTCCAATAGAAAGTCTTTTTACTGAATTAATAATTTTACATTGTCATGAAAATGCTAAACCGATTAATGGAATTTGAATTCCAAAAGTTAGAAATTTAATTCAAAAATTTATTAGGGACTCGTGCAATTCTTCTACTACCAGCCGTGATCTACAATATCTTCTTTGTGTTTATCGCATATTTGTATATAATATGTTAATTATAATAAACTGAACACGTTTTACAATAGGACTTTTACGTAAAGCAACATCACCATCTGGTTGGATGGAAAGTAATCAATTTTTGCAGTGGCTCGATGAAATGTTTATTCCTCACATTCAAAAAATTTGTGGTCAACATATTTTACTTTCGGATGGCCACAGCACACACGTGTCACTAAGTGTGACCTAAAATGTGTAAAGAAAACAAAACAACATTAATTTGCATTCCCGCCCATTCATCTCACATTCTGCAGCCTCTTGATGTTGGTATATTTTGCCATGTTAAAGATGTTTGGCGTGATATTTTAAGAAAATTTTATGCTAAATATATTTTTTAAAAAATTTTCCCCAGTTTTCTTGCACAGTTGTATAAAAGCAGCAAGGCTTACACTCGTACTCAAAATGTTGCTGGTTTCAAAAACACTGGGCTCTTTCCATTAAATCAAGATAACATTGACAAATTAAAATTACAAAATTGTCAAACTTTTGATAAAACCTTAATAACATCATTAGCAGTTACAAAATCGCCACGCTGCCCAAGTTCTTTACCTCAAACTGCTCAATAAACGCAATAATTTATGTTTTTTTCAAGTTTTTTCTGCTTGTATATTAATTATGTGTATATATTAACAATAAAAATAAAAATATTGAATTTATCAATTTATCTATGTTTTTTCATATAATTTGGTACTGTCCGCTTTAAGAGACAATTTTCCGAAAAGCGGACACTTTTTTAAAAAATAAAACATTTCTGCAGTGTAAAAAAAAAAAATTTTTTTAGACTGCAGAAATGCTTTAATAAACAACTATATTCTAGAAAAAAATTCTACAAGTTCTTAATATTAAATAAGTTATTTAGCTTTTCGTGAATAGTGTCCGGTTTGTGGTACTTTTACTCTATTTAAAATTTTAACTTTTCTCGTTTTGCTTAAGTTTTTTAACTTGTTTTGAAGTATTTAAAGCAATATATATGTTTTTTTTACAATTTTAGATGCCATCTTTAGAAAAAAACAAAAAAAAAAACAATAATATAATATATAATGTATAAATTAAGAATGCACACTTAAGAAAAGTTGCACATTTAAGAAAAATTTATATAAAAATGTGCCTTTTCGAGACAACTGCTCACGCGGCTCAAAATTGCAAAACAATTATTTTCATGCAGTATTTGTTTGTGACCTAAAATTGCAAAACAAACACCCCAAAGAGTATTTGTTTGTGGCTTTAAACTACAGAATAAATACTCCATGGAGCATTTGTTCTTCAATTTTAGGCGTTGTCAACAATTAAATCAAACAGACACGTTTTTATGTACATATTGCTAATATGTAATTTTTTTTGCGCTATTATTAAAACTCATAGAGGCACCCCGTATTTCCAAAACGTTCTGTTTAGTGATTAGTGACTTATTTGAGCAATGATAGAAATGTAAATAATTTATACACTGTCATTCAAAAGCGACAAGTCGTTATACGCAAGCGCAGTAGTATTTGAAAAGAGTTTAAATTTTTATAATGGCTACAAAAAATTTTTAGTTTGTTAGCTGTTTTTTTTATATATATTTCTATTTAAATCATCATTTATAACTTTTCTATAATTGAAGTTATAATAAGCTTATTTTAGTTGCTTAAGAAAATGATTCAAATAAGATAAAAAGTATATTCAAAAGTTTAAAGTTGTGCTTTTCAATAGAAATTGATATTCCGGGCTGGGTATTACTTGTTTATACCTTTGAGAATACATAACCTCTGAGCGTAGAAGTTTATTTACATTTTTAAAATATTTAGATAAGTTTAACTGTATTTAATACTTTTTTCAGGTCTTAGCACTTAATTTTTTTGTCACTAGTTTTTTTTTACACAGTCTCATATGTTATATATGAGATATTTGCATGTATGTCAATACAATATCTATTAGAAAACATTTACATTTGTCTATGAGACAATTACGTTATTTAATATTTGTCAAGAGGGTTGTTCAGAAAATATTATTTTAAACATGACCATTCAAGTTAAAAAATAATTTTTAAATACTTTGATAAGTGATCTTGAGGTCCTTCAAAGCCTCTAAACATGCCCCGACTTTTGATCAAAAATACAAAATTCTTAATATTATAAAGTGTTATAATTTTATACTTATAGCAACAGACTTTGCCCAAAGTCATATATTTAACATAAAATGAAGCATATTTACAAAAACCCATGTTAATGTTACATTTCAGTATACTGTTACGTTTTATTTTACAAAAAATTATTAATTTAGTCAATTTTGTGACCAAATATAACAAAAAGTGACTTTTACATAAAAGACGTGAAAACTCGATTACTAACATACTTTAATGACTTGTTGCTTCTGAAAGACCATGTATAAATTATTTACATTCTATCATTGCTTGAATATATTATATCCTCAATAAACATTAGATTTTTGAAATGCAGGTTGCATATATCAAACAAATACTCCATAGAGAAATTGTTTTGCAATTTTAAGCCACGAAAAATAATTCCATTGATAATTTTTAACAAATTTAAGCCACGAACCAATATCCATGGAGTATTTGTTTTTCAATTTTAATCCAGGAACAAATACTCCTTGGAGAAATTGTTTTACAATTTTTAGCCACGTAAGCAGTTGCATCTTAAGAATCACTTAAAAACGCGTGTTTATGTAAATTTTTCTTAAATTTAATTTTTTCTGCGTTTTGCCCTTTTTTTTTTATTTTGAAGATGGCATGCAAAAGTTTGTAGAAAAATAACATTTTTAGTAATTTAAACTTTAAACAAGTAAAAAATTTAAACAAAACAAGGAATATTAAAATTCTAAATATCTTATTACAAATATTAAAAAAACGTTACTGAAAATGTTTTTTAAATAAACGAATAAAAAAATCTTTTTATTTTATTTGAGCTATTAAAAATGGGGCCTCAAAAAAATTACGAGGGTCTCAGTACATCTTAAGTAAAAACAACATCTTAATGCGTTTATTTTTTGTAAAATTTTTACAATTGTTTTGTTTGTTACGAAAAAAAACTACAATAAATTTATTTTATTTCTATAGCAAAAATTTCTGTGCGAAACTAACAATTACAATCCCGAAAAAAATTTTCCAGTTTAAAAATGCTATTCCAGTACATTGCGATGCATCGTTGTAAAATGGAACGTCCTTAAGAAGATCGTCTTTATTACATCGATCAGTGTTACAACACTTTGCCTGAATAAGATTTAAAAAATATAACATGCAACATAAATTAAAAATATAAGCTATATATTATATATATATATTATATATATATATATATATATATATATATATATATATATATATATATATATATATATATATATATATATATATATATATATATATATATATATATATATATATATATATATATATATATATATGTATATATATATATGTATTTAAAAAATATAACATCCAATATAAATTAAAAATATTTGCTAATTATTAAACATCATGAGATGCAACTCCATCAAGTGGTAGGTTATCATCATATTGTGAGTTGAAGACATGATTGGGTAGTTTTTAATTGATTGCATACATCAGCTACGCCTTAAGTGTTGATAAAACTACTTTGGGATGAAACCTTTGAAAAAAATAGTCGCATGTCAAGTTGCTCAATTAAGTATAAACTTGCAGATAATATGGTCAGTTACTCCAAAATAATTTTTAGTTTGTTCTTTTTTATTATAGGCATATTTTTACTTATTTAAATTAACTTATAAAAATTCTTTAAATAAAAATATACAAACATTTTTTAAGCTTAGTTGTTTGCAAATGGAAACTTGTTCTTTGTTCATCTGAAATCTGTTCAGGAGTTATTGACTTGTTTTGTATATAAAGTCAAAACATTTTGTTGTTTATGGTGCACGAGAGTACAAGTTTGGTTGCCTTTATGATTTATAAGAGTTTTTGTATCCATATATTAGGTTTTTAAACTTTATATTACATAAATTTTGATGGAAATATTTTATTTACCATGCTTTTAATAAATTTGATTTATAATTTAACTTTTAATTATGTGGATAATAGGACGGCTAACTTCCGTACGGGTACCAACTTCAAACGTTTATATGTTTATAATAATGTCAAATGATACTTTTGTATGTATGTCAAATGATACTAATTTGTTACTAATGTAAACAAAAAAAGCTTTAAAATTCTTCCCCTCTGCCATAAAGAAACAAGTTTACAAAACAAATTTTTTATTTACTTTTAAATTAAACTAAATTTAATAACATTACCAACTTTTAAAATCGATAAAATAAGTAGAGAAAAAAAAAATTAAAAAAAAACTAATCGAAAAAATGTTGTACCATTGTTTTCAAGCAAAATTGTTTACTTTGGTGAATATTTTTGTCAACTTTACTTTATTACGTTGAAACTATGTTTATAGCACGTTTTTACCGCAATATTTGAATTTCAGTATACATATTGTTAATTCTATACTTTTATATTTTTTATTCTGCAAATTTGAAAATGCTTTGTATCATAGAGTTCTAGTAACTCTATGTTAATAAAAAAGATCAAATACTTAATGATTATGTAATGTTATGAAGTTGGCATTAACATTGTTTTTGTAAAAGAGTTGTAACATTTTGGTCACATTGGAAACAACATTTTTTGGTCGCAACTTTTGGAAACAACTTTTTAGTAATCTTGATTTCGATCAGTGTCATGGTTAACTATTAATAAATTTTTGTGTTATCAAAAGCAAAAAAATAAAAATAATAAAAATAAAATCAATAAAATGCTTTTTTATTTAATTTTCTTTTTTTTTCCGTGTTTTAAATCTCAAGGTGTGACATAAAAATATTTCCAGGCTTGAAAACAATAAAAATATCTGCATTAATATGTACATATAAGACTGACCTTACAAGAGGAGACTTTTACTGACTTATCTATAACTGCCCATCCATTAATAGCAACGCGACACAATGTATCGCATTCTGAGCTATTTGAAGGACACGTCTTTGCAGAGAAACTAGATGTAGTGCCATCCTTTGACAGTTTCATGCTAGAAACGTAGCACACTTCACATTCTATAGTTGATATCGGAGTTTTGCCTAGTTGGTACCAACACGTTAAACACGTTGCTAAGAAAAAATTCGGCATAAAATTAAAAAAAAAATATTGTCGAACTAATAATACATTAAAATATTTTAAAACACTTACCGCAAGGAATAATGAATATTAAATAATACAAATTCATTTTACATACGCTTTAATATTAAGTGAAGTTAACTTTATCAATAAAATATTTTTATTTATACTTCAAGGTAGAAAGTAAAACCGGTGTCATTTTTTGTTTTTTATTTTTTTAGTAAATAATAAATAAACGGCTTTTGTCAACTTTCCAGCTGTTATATTTACTTAAATAAACATTGGGATTAAATAAACGTTGGGAACATTTTGAAAATTTAGTTAATCTAATTGAAAATGTAGTTTGTGAACTAAAACTTTAAACTCTTAAACATTTTCGTGTTGTATATGATTGAAATTTTTTAAGATTAATCAGCATTTTTTACTACTACATGAGCAAGACAAGAATAAATTTGTTATGATAACTTTTAACAACTCTTGTTAATAAACCGAAATTCAGTACTTAGACAGCTGCGTTTCAGAACGAAACAATACAAAACATGTCGAAAGTTAAATTTCGTAAAAACTAGTGTAAGGCAAAATAAGTTTTTTTTTAAGTCAAAACGTAACAAAGTTGAATATTTAGCAAAAATAAAACGGTAAAAACTGTAACTAACAAGAGGGTATCAAGTTTTACAGAAAATACTAATACTTGCAATAATTATCAATGATAATAAAAAAAATAGTTTGCATTGATACTAATTTTTATCTTTCTCTAGTAGGTTTAGCGATCGACCGAAACTCTGTTCTGGTATCGGTTTTGGCCGAAATTTCGAACCGATACCAAATTTTTTGTTTCGGTATTTTTTATAAAATTGATAAAAAGCAAAATTTCGGGTAATAAAAATACCGAAAATCGAAAAATTTGTAAGATTATAAATATATATTCAGAAAAACAGTTATTTTTGAGAATTTTCACGAAATATTTTACGTTTTTTCACAAAAAAGTTTGAGAATTTTCACAAAATACCTCGAAAAAATCTTATCTTGCAGAGAAAATCTGCAAGTAGTTAACTTTTGCTATTAACTTATATCACCATCTTATGTGTTAAGTTTCATTTTGTGATACACGTGTAATCAATTCTAACTTAATACAAGTATATAAGAACGACAAATGTAAAATTGCATTTTTAATATTTCTAATGAAATTAATTTAACTAGCCGAAATGTTGATATCGGTTTCGGTAAAATATTTGACGAAATGCCGGCTTCGATTTTCGCAAACTAGAGTACAGTCATTACGGGTAACTTTGAACGGTTTGCGCTAGGTTTATCTCAACAAAAATTGTTTTACTAACTAGATAACAAATATTTTTACATAAAGAGTGTTCTGATGATCTCTTTTTTCTAGTTTGCTATCATTTTTTTAAATTTGCTAGATATTATGTAAAAAAACAATGTTCAAGTAGGCGTTCAAAGTTACCCTCGCATTTCGGGTAACTTTGAACACTATTAAACTGAATGTCAATTTTAATCTTTTAAATCTAAAAAGTTGTTTAAATTTCTTTGTATAAGTTTAAATTAATTTTTTAAAAAATCTAGTTAAACTATTTCGAGAATAAACAAACAAGTTTTTCAATAAAATATTTCGAGAATAAACAAACAAGTTTTTCAATAAAATATTTCGAGAATAAACAAACAAGTTTTTCAATAAAATATTCACAAAATAATTTTTAAGGTTATAAAAGAAAAAATTAAATAAGACATTATTTTTATATAATTCTCCACAAATAAACACCATTGACTATAAAACTAAATATTACAGTGTTTCCTTCTTTTAGTCTTGAGTTTCAACTAACTCTTTTACAAAATAATCATGATCAAGGAAAACATGTACATAGTGATTGTTTATTTGCTCCAATGAAAAAACTGCATCATTTTGAGATACAGGTAAAACTTGTTCATCGTCTTCAATAACTTGATTAACATTTACAATGCTTGAACTTTGTAAAATATTAAGTTTTTTGTTTATTTTCATAACCATATTATTTGATCCAAGTGGTCTTTCTCTTTTCTTTGCTCGAATATTATCTTGACTTTTTTTTTTATTGTCTCTTTCCTTATAGTATGCTTCTACCTCAGTGGCTGATACACTTTTCCCTGCTGTTATTGGTAACTTAAATTTTTTGCTTACTTCATAATTAAGATGAATATCATCAACATAATTCCTAAACAATTCTCCAATATTGAGTTGAATATCTATATTTGTAAAACTGGGTAATTTGGAGAGAACATGTTCTGGTAAAAATGGATATATGCCAGTAGCCTTAAATCCTGCTTGGAGATTATGTTCTAGATTTTCTTTACCAACATTAAGAGTAGATTTAATGAGCTGCGTAAATAAATTTTTTGGCAGATTATTAACCTTTTTACCTCTGGATGTTTTACGCCATTGATTAAGAACTGACCTCCAATTAGCTTTTAAACTCGAGAAATATCCAACATCTAAAGGTTGTAAAAGGTGTGTGGAATTGGGTACCAAACATATAAATGTTATATTATACTTTTCACATATATTTAAGGCTTTTAAAGATATATGAGCACTTAAATTATCGCAAATCAGAATTTTTTTACCTTCCTTATTTATAATATTTGGAACAAAGTGATTTAACAGCCACTCTTCAAATATTTGAATTTCCATCCAGCCACTGCAAGAAGTTGCCATTCTTGATCCTTCTGGTGCATTGAAAAGCCAGTCAGACCAACTGTGTTTTCCTTTAAAAATGAAAAATGGTGGAATTAGTTTTCCTGAGGCATTTCCACAAAAAACAACAGTGTAACAAGTTTTTGTTGTGTTTCTTATAAGTTCTGGATGGCGAGAGGATCGACGAAAAATAAGTTTTTTTTTTCCAGGGTCATCATGAAACCCTGTTTCATCCATATTGTAAATGTTATCTGGCGTTACTCCATTTAATTCCTTCTCTAGATTTTGAAAAAATAACTTTATTTGACAATAATTAATCTGTGCACGTTTCCTTGAAATACAATGAGATACTTTTTCTTTTAATGATGGATGCCTGTCAAGATAAAGTTTACACCACTCCCAACCTGGTCGGTTATCTTTAAACTGTTGTATATTTTTTCCACTATCATCCAAATAGATTTTGACAATACTTTTAAAATCATTAATTCCAATTGGTATACCTTTGTCACTTAAACAAAGTAAGTGATTTTCAAAACAAAGTTCTTCATCAATGCTAAGGGCAATAGGGCGCCCTACTGATTTACAGTGTTTATTTTTTAGCTTATAAAATAATGTTGCTTTAGGTACTTTATAAATTTTAGAAGCTTCACCAATCGACATTTTTTCTAATTTAATTTTGGCTAAAGCCTCTTGAAGTGTAGAATTGGTGTAATTAGAATTAGTGCCATATTTTCTAGTGCCAGGATGACTTGTCGAACATTTTCTTGGCATTTTATGAATGCTAAAAATATAAAGATGATTTATGTTATTAATGAAAATTATTTAATTAATCGCATATTTGCTATTAATAAAATATATTATTAAATCTATCAAGATAGCCATAAATATCAAAAATTAATATATTAGTAATATATGTTATAATTTTTAATATTTATAATATCATATATCATTATATAATAAAAATACTATAATAAAAAGATGCCTATTATTTATTATGTATTATTGCAATGTTACTTAGACAACAAAAAAAGCATTTTTGGAAAATATTGATTGTCTAAAGTTACCCTGAATTTGGTTATATTTTAGCTAAGTGGAAATAAATATCCTTTTTGTAGCAAAAAACATGTTAAATCCTATTATTTTGAGTTTGTATTAAAGTTCGAAAAATAATTCAATAAAGTACTTAAAAATCTATTCAGATAATTACAATATAATACCAAATATTCTAAATTGAAAACACACGATGTTATCACCACATTAGACTGTGTAACTGGAAATGGAGGAAAACATTATTTTTGAGAAATACAAATTTAATTTTCTTTGGTCAAACTTTTGTAAAAAAAGATAATTCATCATATTATTCTTTGTTAAAGCAACAGGCAAAGAAAATACCAAAGAAAAAAAAATTTAAAAACATTTACACGTTTAGTTCAATGTTACCCGCAAATTCAAAGTTACCCAGAATGACTGTACCCAAAATTTCCGTTTGTTTCGGTTTCGTTTTCGGTTTTCTTTCTGTTTCGGTCGATCACTAAGGTTGATGTTTCAGTGTATAACTTTTGTATAAAGTTGATGTTTCAGTGTATAACAATCTTTGACAAGCGAAATTTAAAAAAAAATGTGGGGGCCGGCTGGAGGCTAAACAAGTTTAATTAATTAATTTATTATTCTACTTAAATGGTCAAATAATAACATTTCTTAGAATTACTTAATGAGAAACTAATCTAAAGCGTCAGTTTATAGATTATAGAAGATAAAACACGTTGGGTAAAATGTATTCTAAATGCAAATTAACAGTGACGAGCAACACTGTAGCTTGAGAACTACACTGGCCTAATTATTAAATAAAAGTTGAAGAAAAAGGAAGAGAGTAATCAAAAAAGCAATCAAAATCAAACTAATTAAGCATGTTTTCTTTAGATTTGAACCGTTTTCTAAAATACCTCGGTTAAAAAACAACGGATCATTTTTGTTGTTTGACAATTGATTTTTTTAATTGTTTATCGATTTAATCAAAAACATCCGAAACAATTGGTTACAGAAACAATTGGTTACAGAAAAACAAAAATTAAAACTTATTTTTACCAAGAGTAGAAAAAGATACAAATGTACAATCAAAGAAAGATACAAATGTACAATCAAAGAAAGATACAAATGTACAAATAAAGAAGTCTCTTGTTTATATTGTCGAAATGACAATTTGCTTAACGAGATAATATATATATATATATATATATATATATATATATATATATATATATATATATATATATATATATATATATATATATATATATATATATATATATAATTTGGTTTTATTGAATCTAGTGATATTATATGTATAAAACTTATTTGCTTTTCATTCAGCATAATGGTTGAGAATATTTTTGATGATTTGCAATAAACGAAAAATAACTTTTGGCATTATCTGCATTATTTGCTGATGATTAAAATTGACTATAAACATCCAGAATGTGTCTGCAGTTATAATAATAAGATTTATGTAAGATTTGTAATTA